GGGAAATGCCAGGTGTCTTCAGAGAACCCTCATAATAATGACCATAAAGAAAAGAACAGAACACACGTGACCAGCCTCGCTGATGTTAACTAACAGTGAATGGTGAGAATGAAGAGGCTATTGACAGGCATTGCAAGAGTGAGAACAGAAATCAAAGTTTTTCAAGAGTGGAGAATTGAAGAAATAGTACTAAATACAGCAAAGCTATGAAAAAAAAAGCAAAAAGATAAAAATATGTTAAATCTGAACAAGCAAAATTCTCAATTTCAGATATATAAAATGCATAGTTATTGATTAAAAAAAACAACTTTTACAAATTTCCTTTAAATGTATACAAGAAACAATATATTTTGAAAAGATTTTTTGCCTGCTAAATTGCATTTCCCTATCCTTTAGTGGCTGAATTCATTGGCCTGCTATAATCAGCATAATGAAGAAAACAATTTCATAGTGACAAAAACTGAGTCAGCATTACACCAGCATTATTTAGCGAGCACCTTTCTACACCTAAAATTTGGGTGGCTGAGTTGGCCTTTACCCAAAACCTTAGATTGTTCCTAGATGCTATGGAACCAACAGATATAATAATATAAATTCTACAATGTTTCAGTTAGAGATGACTCATTCCCTGAATAGTGAAAGGGCCTCTCTGAAGAAAGCAGTATTTAGCTTCAATTATGAGTACATATTTTACATCCTCTTTATGAGCCAGGCACTGTGCCTAGGTGCATCCTCCAGAGAGCTAACAGACTAACAGACATGAAATAAGTAACCATTTATTAATTCAAGTGTGTTTAAATACAAAATAAGTGGCAAGGAGTAATACTGAAGAGAGGTCAAATGAAGAAGGATGAAGCTACTGATCAGAAATAGATTATAGTCTTAATCTCTCTGAAGTTAGAGCTCTCTTTTTTATACAATAACAGGGACCTCTCCTGGAATGGAAAGACAGAGACCTTAAAATGTGGGTTTTGACCAGAAATTTCTCCATACTTGTACCTCAAAGGCCAACATGAAGTAAATTATTTTGAACAGAATCTAAGGCCCAAGCAACACAGAGATATTTGCTTTCACATTCCAAATGAACAGATATCTCCAACTGGTACCACCTGTAGATCCGGGCATATTAGGGTCCTTTCTTGAATTCTTTGGCCTGGGTCTTAAGCCTCACACTTTGCAGCACCTTCTTTGACATTCTCTAAGATCTTCCCTCTGGTGCCTGGGAGAGGCTGAGGCTGGCAATGCTATCTGGGCCGGGGCCCTCAGCCAAGACCTAGACCTGTATGGTTCTACTTGCTGGAAGCATTGAAATTTTCTGTTACCTTTCAGACCCTGAGACCAGCCAGGGAGGCAGTTTCATCTAATCTAACTAAACCATATGGACTCGAGTCTCTGTTTTTCTCTATTAGGATGCTCCCTAACTCTCTACCTCATGTGCGAGATTGACCAGATGTCCTGGGGACCCCAGAGACTTGCACTTATGGGGTTATTCTGGACTAGTGGCCTGCCCCTGGTTCCAGGAAAGTGCTCTGACAAGTGAATCATTCATTTCTGCTGGCTGGAATGATACTATATGAGAATGGACCACTAGAATGTTGCCCCACTGATCTGAGGTTACTCAAAATGTGTATATAAAAAATAGGGTGGAAAAATGAACTTGATTGGGCCCCTCACACCTTAGGAGTGGTCCTGTCTTCAACACTTTCAAGTTCTCAAAGACATTACAAAAGTAAGTATACCTGAGTGATAAAAGCCCAGAGAAATGTGAGGGCAAGGATTTGGTCTTGGGCTTTTGTATATGCAACCACTAGGGAACCACAGAAAAGGTGATATGCAGTTTATTATCTGACTATCCACTGAATTGTGAGACTCAAGCGTTCTCTGCCTGAACACCTTATGCCGTCAGATGGGTGGAGTTAATGATGCTCTCTCTACATTCCTCACGGATCTCCTGGAGAATGAGTAATCCATAGCTTCCATAAGCCAGTGTTTCTCATCAGGGTTACTCTTGCCTTTTTCAGAAGGACAAGCTAAAGGATTCTCTATTCATTGAGGATATTTAGAATCCTTGTTCCCTTTTTAATATACATCAGTTTTACTTTGCAGTCGTGATGATGTCTAAAAATGGAGCCCCACTCTCCCCACCTTCATATCTAAATATTTACACTCTTGATACTGTAAATATTTACACTCTTGATACTGTCTCTATTAAGAACCACTAATATACAGTATTGCCAACAGAAATATAACTCAAGCCACAAATGAGAGTCACATGTGTAATTTCTATTTCTCTAGTAGCTACATTAAGAAAACTAAGAAGAGACAGGTAAAATGAATTTTAATAATATATTTTATTTAAAGCAGTATATGAGAACATGCCATTTTAATATGTAATCAATATGAAATTATTAATTAGATATCATATTTTTTGTAATAAGTTTTCAAAATCGTGTGCATATTTTATACTTGCAGTATTTATTTTGGACTAGTCACATTTCAAGTGCTCAATAGCTACGAGTGACTAGTGAATAAAATATTGGTATAGATGAAAAGATATTCCTAAAGTCCACACAGTCATAGGAGCCTGCCAATTCCAGGATAAAATGAGGCACTCTCACTAGATTTAAATAATCATCCATATTGTAAGAGTTCACAAACTGGTTCGACGGAGGAATATAAACAATATAGGTAACCTTGGAATGAAAGGAGAAAGATAGGGGTGAAGAAAGATGAACCTGAGATTTACAGGAAGCTAAATAATTTCTATGAAAGAATCTTCTCATCTAGAAATAGTTTAATTGGGCTGAAAATATGCACATAATTAGATTTTTGATCCCGCTTCAGGGTACATTCCTATATGTGATGCTTAAAACTAATTTTACCTGCTGTGGCCTTTAGTGTCATTGTCTATTGGCATTTTCAAAGAGGAATTCTCTATTAAACTTTTTATTCAGAGGATGTTAGATTTTGAAGTATTCAGAGTATTTCCAAGATCCTCCTGCCTTTTATTTTTTAAATTTTATTTATGAAAAGCAAATTCTAATATATTTTTGGGGGGTCTAGTTTTGACGCCCAAATTTTTTCTAGGAGTTTCTGTGTTTCTCTTCCAGAGCTTTCATTTTTAAATGTTCTTTTTCTATAATTAAAATTTTGAGTTCTTGATGAAATTTACATTGTAATTAAGTTATTCTTCTTTGCTCAGAAGAATAAAAAGCCAAATGCCACCTGGTGGTTGAGAATGTCTCGTTGTTTCAGATGGGTTACCACATCAATTCCTAATGCCCCCATCTGGACGGCTGAAGAATTTTGTAACTTTGAAGTGAATCAATCATTTCCATTTCCATTTCAAGAGAACGATTTTATTGTTAATTACAGATTATGAATAATAATTTATGGATGTACAGTAAGGCAAGTATACCAATGAGAGAAATAAAATGAAAATATTCATTCACTGTGAATAATGGAAAATCCCACCTTTAAAAATTATCCCCAAGAGTACATTAATCAGCTTGTGAATGATTTTCCTAATGATACTAACAATAAAAATCTTTCATCTTAAAAAAATTATTATTATTAGTGCATAATTGAATAAAATAAATTTTGGTTCCAGAACTCTGATTTCCTAATTAAAATCTAGACAGCAATCAAAGCGTTTTCAGTTAAAGAGGACTTTCTTATAATTATCCAGTTCAGAAACAAAGTTACTAAACTATGAGATTAATTTATTATATCAATGCTCCAGAATTAATAATATCTAGTAGTATAAATAATTTACTAAAATAAATTGTGAAAAATGGTAACAACAAAATTTGTCTCTGGTCAAATCCCACAAATGTTAAGTAAGGAAATATCCATCAGTGACAAAAGAGTAAAAGTTGTCTTTAATAGTTATTATTTATTCAAAGTTATGTATTCAAATAGTTATTACTTTTATAAATAAAACTATTTTTATTATATATTGGTGAAAATTTTTGTGTAGTCTTTGTAAGAGTTAGTATTAGTTTAAATTTTTCTATCTAATCTTAAACTTAACTAGAGTCTAAATCTCTTCCATTTAAAAAATATGTACACCTGAACCCACTTAAAAATAGTGAATATTTTTCATGTTTTTCACGTAGGATAAATACCAAAGAGAAAAGAGAGCCCGGAATTAAGTTCTCATTTTTCATTCATATTAGATAATGTATGAATTAATTATATGTTTAAAGATTCTGCATTAAATAATTGTATTGTAAAATGTGTCATTCTGTGTTCAGTGCCCAACATTCTTTCTCCTTTCGTTCCAAGGTTGCATATATTGTTTATATTCCAAAGCCAAGAAAACTGCCACTAACCCAAACAATTTGTGATCTGCTGGCTAAAAACAATTCTTACCAGGGTCTTTTGAAGAAAGAAAAAATTTTTCTAAGTATTATTATAAAATGTACAAAACAAAACAAAACCTGCCAAAATACAGGAAATTCTAGAAGTAAGGTTTATACTGGATATAGGAGTCAGGCAGGGCGCAGGAGATGAAAATTTTTGGAAGCTGGGAGTGCTTCTCCATTCTCTTAACTTGGAATTGAAGACACACAAGTTTCTACTCATTGGGCTACCATTTATCCCATTATATGTAAAAAATTTCAATTTCTAAATGTTGAAAACACTCATATACTACACATATTTGCTCTTATTTTTCATAAGAAAAGTAGAAAAAGAGACCATGAGGCTTGCAAACTATATATTCTCATGTTTGCCAGCATACAGGCCACATGTATTATGTTGCTACTAGATGCTATTGAATAGTATAACAATAAGTACTTTTTTTTTTCATTCTCTCAGTGTATTGTTTATGTATGTACCCATGCCATTTTATGTATGTCGGGTTGGAAATATAAAGACAATAGAAAGAAAGGGGAAAAAATGTGATACTGAACAGTTGCTCAAATAAACTTTTAAGAATTTAATTTTGGAATTGATATAATGTATCCAAACTAATGTGAATAGTTACTTCTTCACAGGAGGCTTCATGGAGACTGAAGCTGCAGCTCAGGAGTCCCTGGGGTTAGGCAAACTTGGAACTCAAGCTGAGAAGGATAGAAGATTGAAGAAAAAGTAGGTTTGGAGATTTTTTTCCCTCCTTTTTCTAATTTTAATTTACTCTTTATCATTTATTGCCTGTGGGGAAGTTAAAAAGAGAATTATTGGAAAAAAAAATGACAGACTGAGGCCAATATTGTCATGGTATTCCGTAAAACTACTTATTCAGTGCTCGAATTTCCTGGTTCTAGTAGGCTACAGTTTGAAATGACTGTAAAAAAATCTTTGCCCTGTAGTAGAAATGAACAGTTTATCTAAGAGATCAAAGCATTTATTTCAAAACACAGTATATTTTAAATATTTAAGTGTAGCCTTACAAATAATGTAATATTCTATTTGATGTTAAATTTAGTACTGAATTGAAGTGATAAAATAAGAGTATACCATCTAACTTTGTGTTTCCTCTAATGGCAAAGTCTCCTCTTAAAATGGCGTATTTAAAAGAATATTTCTCTGACTGATTGAATATAAACTTATTTTAGACTCACAGCAGATTATTTTGCATCTGTCAGGAAACTGATAGTATATCTTTTCATTCACATATAATATGGAACATTTAAATGAATTGCGAAATTGGCAAATTTTGAGTCTCAGCAGCTGTTGGGAAGCGAGTGAGTCCATAAATAACACATTTTTAAATACATAGTAACATTTTCAGTGATGAAGTAGCACCTTTAGAACATGTTCTTTAAAAGCCAAAGAATTTCTCTTTATTCCAGAATCTATTGTCTGGTTACTCCTTTTCCTCACTCTTAAATGTTTATTGCTCTCATCATCATTATTGTAATAGATATGCTTTCATGGTTATAGCATTCAAATTAATCAATTTACTTCATATTTTGCCATCTCTCTTGCTTTGCAGGTGTTTACTAATAAGGACATACGTACTTAAAAATGCAGAACAACTCACTAGCCTAATTGTATTATTAATTTGCTACTTACTAAAATTAGGTAATCATCCAAATTCAGTTAGAAATACTGTGCAGAGAAAAGAAGCGACCTTGAGATTATTATTTTTTAAATACAATTAAATATTTGGTCACATTCCATACTAGTAACCATTTTTTCTTCTGTAATTTATTATTCAAATAACTAAAAAATGTATTTAAATGTTATCGCAATCTGCTTGAAATCTCTTAATTTTATTTATTCCTATTAATGAATGTTATATTCAATTTATGGTTATTTATTGAGAAAAAAATTCTAGAAAGTCTTCACCTTTGATAGACTCTTTAAAATTTATTTCAAGTCTAAATGATTTTCAATTTTTTTACTTAAAATTACTTTAAGTCTAAAGGAATAAGAATAGTTAAAATCCATCCTGGCTAATGGACTTGGTTTATTTCTCTTAAAAGTTAATTTTTATTTTTCTCACAATGAAATATTTACATAACATGGTAATCTGGCCAGTTTTCACTTTGCACACAAGGCTGAGACTGAGGCAGTTCATTGGTTATTTATGGGACCACGTTAAACATCTTTTTTAATAGCTACTAAAGGTAAATATTCCAAGTATACAGTGACTTTTAAAATAAAATATTTAGAATTAATTTTTAGCTATTATCAACTTTACATACTATTGGATTGATTTGATGTTAATTTTATGGAATTATTTCTCAAATCCTAAGTACCCTCATAGTTGGAAACGGATTTTTAGTTCTGCACTAGGTTGAAGATCTTACTATACTTGACCTTTGAGTTTTATTTTGCAATATGTTTTGGCAAAATATGACTTTAAAATGTATTAGATAAGATACTATTGTTAATATAAGAAGAATATTAAGAACATTCTTTAATATAATAAAAGCTAACATTTTTAGTATAATTATTTCTATGTAAATATTTGGGTTAACATGGATCTAAGAGAGTTAATTAAAGGAAGAACAGAAATATTTCTCTTATTGTCTATTCCATAGCAAGAATCCTATGAACATAAACATGTAACCAGTATTTGTGAGATTTATATAAGTAAGTGTTAACACTTCTTCCAGACTTGCATGACACTATACTATGGTTTCTGGGTTACCAAAGTATGAAGCGTCACGTAATGAGTTTTATAATTTTTTTAAATTACATAGTTGCACAATTTATTTATATTTAATTTTTTATTGTTAATTATTATGAATATTGGCCACTTATTCTTAAATTTTTTGAAGTATTTAAATTTTCATTTAAATGAGTTCATTTTTTTCCTAAATATACCCTATCGTCTTTAAGTATGCTTCAAGAAATATTATTTTCTGCATTAAAATTTCATGTTTATTAGTCTTCTTTCAAGATGGAAAAGAAATTTAAGTATATTTTATTAAAAAGATTAATAAAACCAAAAATGTTACAACTTCTTTCAAAAAGTTGAACACTGTAGGTTGTATGTGCGTAGTTGCAATGACTGTGATTTCCTACCAGCTGTTTTTCCATTCTGGTCTTTGTCCAAAAAACTGATGTTTCCAGGACAAAGTAGTTAACTTAAATCTATGTTCACTATCTCAAAGTTGATATCAGAGATTCATTAGACTCTGGGAATTTGCAGACCTAGAGAAAAAATCTTATTTTCAACTTTTCGTAGGATATCAGGTATTCACAATTGACAATCTGTGAATTTAAATTTAATTGGAAGTAATTTTCTCTAAATACATTAGTTATGACATATTTTTAAAGACCATATGGGGGAGATACTTTCAGAGAGCAGCATTTGAGACATTCCAAATTCTTTCAAAGTTCAGAAATTTGTACTGTTGCCAGTCTTAAAGAAAGGTCTAATTTGAGGTACATTTCCATTCAGCAAATTGAACTCATATAGGTTAGAACAGCTTACTAGATGTGTTCCTACTTTATTCTACTTTTACTTTGCTTTCTGGTGTAGACATTTGTTTTTCTTGCATTTCTAGCTCTTGTCCTGTGATGGGAAATAGGAAATGAACAATACTGGATGGCTAAAGTGCCCACTATTCAAAATATCTCGTCAACATTTATCTTCCTGAGTTGGGTATTATCATGTAGGTGCTATTCTTCCAATAAATATCTAACCTAGTCCTAAAGGCAATCTGTTATTCTTCTACCTGGTTCACTTTTATGATGCCTTATTTCTACTTTCCTTTAAAACTTTAATTGCATAATTTTTTCCCAGCAGGTTTATATAGAGTGCAATTAATACCTACAGTAATTGTGTCATACTGAAACTCATCTAGTAATTCTTTGAGTATTTTATATTAATTTTTCTGGTCTTCCCCATTAAAATTTGACCAGTTTTTTTTCTGTAGCCTCATAGTATAGCCCTCCTAATCTTTAAGGATTGAGTCACTTATTCTTCTTAATATATATCTCCACATATTTAAAAATGTGTTTTTTCCTTAGTTTTCTCAATGTGTGCTCCCTCTGAAGTGTCACTACTCTCTGAAACCTTGTCCATCATCCTGTATTTGATTTCATTGAACCACAAGCACCTTTTCTGACTTAACACAAGTTAAACATCTCCATTTTTAAGACTTACATTATGGGCAACTACATCTAAGAACTTCACCTCTTCCTTTTATACCTGTCATTCTGATCTTCAAGAATTTATTTCCCTTTTTTAGATTACGGACCAATATTTTAGACTAAAACCTAAAGCTACTTGTCCAGAATGGCCAATTAAAGTCGACTATACAACTACAAAAAATAACCATATGGCATAATAAAAGCTACTGTAAGGTCAAAACTTATGTGGTCTAGCCCATCGAGAACCTCAATTTCTGAATATTCTTTAACTCCCTGAATCTCTGAATTTGGGTATTTTTAGGACTTGGTAAATAGAAACTCTGCTCTATGCCTAAGTTTAGAATCTATTTGATGACAGACAAAGGAGTCAGACAATTAGAGATCAAAATCTCAACTTTATTACTGAAGAATTATTGGAACATGACTTGTGTATATGGCAAAAAGGGGAGTTTCCTAAAGTTGAACCCCCAAATTAGATAAACTTACCTGACAAAATAAATAGATGATAGTCACAGGTTTCTAAGATGTACAAATATAAGCCTCAGTTCTCCTTAAAAATAGCATCTACAATGTTATGATTCTATAAATATATTACTCTGGAATCAAGGACTATGAACTCATAGGTAAGAAAGTATTATGTCATTAGCATCTTTGCCTCAAGAAGAATTTTTGAAGTATCAATATTAAATGTACTTGTATTAATGTCTCAACAGATTTTCTACCTTTTTTTTCCTCCTGGAATATATTTCATTGCCAATTTTCCATATCAACTCTCTACAAATGTGATGATAGCGCGTATGGCAAACTCACTAAATCCTTAGAGATCTGAACATATATTTTATAACTCAAATTAATTGATGGTTGCAAATAGTCTAAAACTATTAGTTTAAAATAACTTACCCTCAAAACTTTAAAGTACTACTCTTCTTCCTTCCAGTTATGTCTAATGTCAATTGATTGTCATTCTTTTGTATATAGCATGTAGGATTTCTTTTTCCTCTCCTTCTCTCTTTCTAAAGTTTGATATTTTTCTCTTTATCTTCGGGGTTAAGAAATGTTATGAGTTTCTGCTCACTTTTTTTTTTTTTACGTTTCATTTTTCTACTTTATACTTTCAATTTGAAGATTTGTTAGACTGGACTGTCTTACATGTATTGACCTAAAGGACTTTTATTTCTAGACTCAGCTTTGATTCCAAAGAGCTGATTTTTACAGAGTCTATGGCATTAAAGATGAAATTGTCTGTTTCAGTAACATTACACCTGTCTGGCTCTCATGGCAGTCCTTGATAAGCAATGAACATATTAAAATTGACAAATACCCAGTGAATGATTACTTACCTTCAGAAACATAAATTCTGAAAATTGTATCTCAATTTTTATCTGCTGTTTTCCTCCTGCATTTTTAATACTGTGTAATTTGTTATTAAAACATATATTCATGATGAGATCTTATGTATCCTGAGACAAGTTGAAAAGTAGCATATGAATATTAATATATTGACTAAAATATCATTCTCAATCTTTAGTTATAATATA